GCAACACCAAACCAGCCTAAACATTCAAAGACCCAGAGGCAAAGACCTCAGCCAGAATACCCAGCACAGTATTCAAATCCTAAACCTCACTCCACAGAGTACCTACCCCAGCCTGACCGTTACCCTCCACAGTCACAGATCCAGGTGCCGGCCCAGATAAGGCCCTACCCAATCCACCAGGAGCAGCTCCAGTCTCTCCAGACTGTGCCTAATCTTCATGCTCAGCTCCAGCAACAATCCCAGCCTCACTTATATCGCCAGAGACACCCCCAGTTACACAACCCCAGTCACCGCTCTTGGCCCCTGCCCCTGCGCAACGCCCCAACCCGTCCTGAACCCAACAGAGACAGACAGAGTGGGAACAGTCAGGGTGCTCCACAGGGTGCTTCAGATGATCTCCCTCAGCCCCAGCCTGAGTCTTATCAGCCCAGGGTGAGAGTGTTGGATGGAGGAAAGGAGGACTTCCTCCAGCTTCCTGTGAGGCACAAGATCCCTACAAGACCAGTTCCAAAAAAGGATGCAACCAGTAAGTGTTGTCTGTTTACTCACTGTTACATTGCTTTATAATTCATGTTAGTCAATGTTACTTGACGTGACTAACTAAAGGATGAAAAAGCACTTTGATAACCAAGGTTGGAGGCGAAGGTAAAAGGTAAAGTCATTGTAGAGAATTCTTTTTATATTTGAGCACCAGCGTTTATTAGATTGATAATATCTTCTATCTCCTTCTGTCTGCAGTCTGTAACGTGGACTCCATGCTGTTCTTCCCCTCGGCCTCAGCGGAAAACTATGTCACCTTCTTCCGGACTCTCCCCGACCTTCCAGAACTCTCTGTGTGTTTGTGGCTCCGCGTGGAGGCATCTCATGTCGGCACCCTGCTCTCTTATGCCACAGACGACAACGACAACCAGTTGGTTCTGTATGGCCGAAACTCCTCTGCCTCTCCTGCATCCTTCTTTTCTTCTTCCTCATCTTCCCACCCCCTCTATGCCTCCTCTTCCTCCCCTTCCCTGGACTTTGTCATCGGAGACCCTGTCTATCGCCGTCTCCCGACGTCCTCGCTCCTGGATGGTCGCTGGCACCACCTCTGTGTCCTCTGGTCGTCCATCCAGGGCCGTTTCTGGCACTACAGCGACCGCCGGCTCGCTTCCTCAGGCTCCAACTTTAGAAAGGGCTGGGAGATTCCTGGAGGTGGCTCAGTGGTGCTGGGGCAGGAGCAGGACACTGTTGGTGGAGGGTTTGACCCTGCAGAAGGTTTTGTCGGGCAGGTGGCGGGGTTCAGGGTGTGGAACCGAGTGCTGAGTGAGTCAGAAGTGGAAGGGGTGGCAGAGGGAAGAGGTGTGCCCAGGGGGGTGGTGCTTGGCATGGAGGACATAAAGGAGGTACATGGGGAGGTGCAGCAGGTGGCATGTGAATGTTTAGAGCACTGTGTGTGATCACGTCACAGAGAGGGATTCAAAAGAAGAGTTTTATTCTAAATCATAATTTCTGCAGGGGATGTTAATGCCTCTTGCTTGCCTGCCTCTTAAACAGCTCGGTCACCAAAAGAAAATCTTGGCATTGTAAGTTTCAGTAAACCATGGATATGTTACGTTTCATACATATCATAACTATATTTCCAAAGAGACGTAGTTCTGATAACATATATAAGAGCTGACTTTGTCATTGGGGGGGGTGGAGGGGATGGTGAGACAGCTGCCGAGCTGCAGAACACTATTTGAAACCAAAAACAACCAAACAGGTTGTTTTTTAATGAGATGTCAGTGGTGTATCCAGAAACATTTGTGCCATCAAACCTGGGTGTCTATTAGCAACACAATATGACGTTTGTGCCACCAAACCTGGGTATTTTTTAACAACACATTGTGGGGTTTCCAAAGGTGTTTGTACCACTAAACCTGGGTGGCTTTTAGCAACACGTCACCGTTTGTGCCACCAGACCTGGGTGTTTTGTAGCGACACATCATTGGATTTCCAGAGGTGTTTGTGCCACCAAAACTGGGTGTTTTCTAGCAACACGTTGCAGCAATTGTGCCACCAAAAAACTGGGTGTTTTTAGTGAGACATCGTGGTGTTTCCAGCAGCATTTGTCCCCACAAACCTGGGTGGTTTTTAGCGATGTATTATGGCATTTCTTAACCATTATCGAGTGCTTTTTGTGCCTAAACATAGGCACAGCACAGTTAAAACTAAAGTTTCAACATATCCTCTACATAATAATGTACAAATGTCACATATCTATGGTTTGCAGAGACGTACAATGCCAACATTTATTGTGGTGGTTGGGCTCTCTTTAAAGGCCAAATAACCACTTTTTTCCTTTAAGATTTTATTTTTTCAAAATTGCTGGATGCACACGCAGCGGTATACTTTTACTGGAATTAAAGATAGATTAACCAAAACTGGGACTGGTAAGACTGATAAACTATGCAATATTAACTTGTGATTGATCTATCAGACAATAGTTAAACACTACAAAGAAGTGTGCCTGTAAATGTGATATTAATGTCCATTGTTTTAATGCCAAACACTTCTAAAGGGGGAATATAACACTGTTTCCACCAGTGAATAGGTAGTTTGGTATTAAACTCTTCAAATGGTGCTAATGTTTTAGTCTTTATTTGTCACTTACCTGTAAAGTCCATTAAAGACTATTTTATCTGAGCTCAGTATAGGCTCACTTCGGAAACACATTCCTCCTGATCCATGTCAGACATTAGAGGATACATAATAAAACAGCCTGTTATTATTAATATTAACTTTATCAAACATAATACTTTATAATGGTAAAGGGCCTGTTCGTGGATGTCTTTGGATTATTTTTATATCCACTGTGTCTGTCTTCTGGATTGCAAATAGAAACGTATAATACTTATTTTTTAAATGAATATATTTGATAAAACACATGATGCTTTTGTTTTATCTCTTTGCTGTGTGGATAGGTATATGTCCAATAAAAGACAGGGTGACAGGATGCAAATGTTTTTGTCCACCCCAGACTTTTTGTAAGTTAAAAAAGGGCTTGAGGTAGGCAGAATGGTATATTAAAAGTAGTTAAAATGAGTCACAGATGATCTTTACTTATTTCTGCAATTTCCCTCACATTTCTAAAACACTGCGTTCAGCAATTAAATTGTTTACAACATTCTTATGAAAAGACAAGAAAACCCAGGATAAGTCCCAGGGATGAGCCTTAAATGACTCACCCTTCTCAGAAACTGGGGTGGGAGGTTTGGGGTTATTTCCAGTGTTTTAGCCTATAGTGGTAGATGTCAACTGTCATGAGCATACAGTGTGAAGCAGGTACTTGGGGCTGGATGGAGCAAGAGATCACTGCAGAAAATAACAAATTAATTTTATTCAGCTCTCTGTGGTACTGCCCGAAATGTTAGTGACCCATTAATTCTCCATTCTGAACATAGTTGTCTTTTTATGTTTGGCTTATTGTTGCTGCCCTTTTCCATGACTGTGTGTTATTCTGTGTGTGTCTCCTGTATGTTCGAATGTCTCAAATATTTTTGTCTTTAATAAAAACAAATAAAAAAGTTTCACAAAGGTTCAGCATTTACTTATTAATGCATCTTTCCCTGATATTTTGACTTGTCAAGCACAGATTTAACCAACAATAAACTAACAGACACCTACAGTAAATGGAACAGATTCATTGTTAAAATTATTGGTTAACCACCTGTGCTCCTCCTGCTATAACAAGTTGAAACAGAGAATGTACTGTCAGCAAAGTCTGTTGATCTATTATCAAATTATGTAATGATTGCATTGATTTAATTTGATTTCGCTTTATTGTCAGAAAAGAAAATCTGAAAATTGTCATGTCTCATGACGTCAACTGTTTTACATAAATACACATAAATCTAAAAATACAAAACTACCAAATCATCCAACAAAAACTACAAATCACAACAGAAAGGTCATGCAGTGTGATATATTCCTCATTACCTATTACATTTAGTGTTTGACCCAGGCTTATTTTGATCGCGGGAGCGTCTTGCCCCAGTAACAGAGGGGCAAGATCCCCTTTTATAAGATTTTTATTTTTGTGTTCCATCCATCCATTTTCATCTGCTTATCTGGGTCCTTATCGTGGGGGCAGCAGGCCAAGCAAAGCACCCGAGACATCTCTCCCCAGCATCACCTTCCAGCTCCTCCTGGGGGATCCCAAGGCATTCCCAGGCCAGATGAGATATGTAATCTCTCCAGCACATTCTGGGTCTGTCCCGGGCCTCCTACCAGTGGGACGTGCCCGGAACATATCCAACGGGAGACGCTCAGGAGGCATCCTTATCAGATGCCCGAACCACCTCAACTGACCCCTTTCGACGCGAAGGAGCAGCGGCTCTACTCCGAGTTCCTTACCCTATCTCTAAGGCTGAGCCCAGCCACCCCACGGAGGAAACACATTTCCACCGCTTGTATCCACGATCTCATTCTTTTGGTCACTACCCAGAGCTGAGGGTTGGGACATAGATGGACCAGTAAATCAAAAACTTTGCCTTCCAGCTCAGCTCCCTCTTCACCAGGCAGCGCCTGCATCACTGCCGAACCCACACCAAACCGCCAATCCATCTCACGCTCCATTCTACCCTCACCCCTGAATAAGACCTGAGATACTTGAAATTGGCTACTCTACCAAATTATATCTCACAACAGTACGTTGGTTTATGCATCAACACCCTGCACATGCTAAAATTATATCTAAATATTTTTTTTAAATTTAACATTGATTTGTTCTTGAGGGGGGCATTTTCCCCTACTTTACTTCAGATAATTTACAGTACATTTTGTTAATAATACTTAAATTCTTTTATATATCGCAGTAAGACTACTTTCTTTAAAGGATATGGATACTTAATGCACCAGTGGTGAACATACTGTTGGCATTCATGTCTTTGCATTCATAGTTCGGTTTTCGCCCATAAACAGTAAAACTACCACTCCCAGCATCCAACGCGCCTAACGGATATTTTGGCCATGCACGCGAGCCTTACAAAGCGTCACGAGTGACAGGAATGGTCATGGGGAGCTGAGGGAGAATAACAGTAGTTAGCTAGCAACAGACAACAACCGCAGTTAATGAAATAAATTACTGACGGTTCGGGCGGCGAGCTACTGGAGGCCACCATGGCGAACATCACGAAGAAAGTGTCGTGGTCCAGCCGGGCCGAGGAGTCCGGGGCAGCCGGGGAGGGGACACCGCTGCTCAACGGCTCCGAGCAGCCCCGACACTCCAGACAGGTAACGTTAGCTAAAGCTAGCATAGCTGGCTAAGCTAGCCTGACAGCTCCTGTACCTTTCGCGGCGTTAAAATATGCTGTGTCATGGTTTTATTAGCCGGTATAAGGTTACGTTGAGTCATGTTTTTATATGCTGCATGGGTCATGTATGCTTGTGATGGATTTTTAATGCATTGCTGCGTACACAGCGCTCATTTTGGGGGGTGTTTTCATGTCGTGTGATTGTATGTTTGCAGTGGGGCATCAGATGCAACAAGCTTTGTTTGGGACGGAATGTGGCTGCATGAAAGGAAATTGAATTAGTGTTCATGAAATTACTTACACCATGCACGCAATTAGATTAATTTACATAGAAAAATAACAAAAAAAATAACAAATTACAGGGACTTTGCAAAAGCTAGTCCCTACACTCGCTTGTTACTGAGCTTATTCACTAGTTAAATTGAAACAGGAAAAGGCAGTCAGGTGGTAAATTAAGGGCAAATTCATCTTTGTAAGCAGCTTAATGTCAGTTCTAACTTAAGAAGGGGTGAAAATGACGTAAAGTCATGTTACATTGGCCAACAGGTAATTTTTGTCTGTTAAAGACACTATTTCAATCCTGTATAAAGTTGATTTTAGGGTGTTAGGGCAGAATAAATTTTTAAAAAATAATATCAAACACTTAATGTCGTATATATATAATGAGATAGCAGACCTGCTGTCTGTAGACTGAGGGAAGTGTGCTGTCCATCTAATATCGAAACCCACTGGAAAATCCCACTTCCTTTTTCCTCCAATGCCACCAGGACTGGTCCTTTACCTCCTGCACCAGCAGGAGGAAGGTGGAAGTAAACTAAGTGCACTTCTTTTGTTAGTAAGTACTATGGAGAAGGGTTATCCTATTATACGTTGAAGGGATTATATGTTATTGATTCATTTAAATCAATAAAATAAACAGAATTTCAGCTTTAATAGGGCTTTGTAGCTCTCATTGGTCAGAAAAGTGTTGTGTCCATTGCAGTCCCTGTTGCGGTGATCTGAATATCAACATCTGTGTGAAGTCAAAACATAAGCCTGGAAATTACTCCACATAGCCATATATATATATATACATATATATTTCTGTTGCTGTCTGTGGTGTCTGTAGCTGTCTGGAGGAGGCAGTATATTTCAGATAGGCAGACTCAGCACGGTGGATTTGGAGGAAGAGATAACGTCAGATGAGGTAAAGTCCGAGTCCGAAACATTATCGCACTCTTTCTCTCTGTGTCTGTTGCTCCTATTGATCATCACTCCATCAAGACCCTTAGTGGCATTTCTCTTAGTGTGTAGTGAGTTTAGCAACTATAAACCCTTATATGTTCAACCAAATCAAGGAGAAGAGATCAGTTATGTCTTAAAGTTATACAAGTTCAGGGTTCAGACAATATTGTGTTTAACTCAATCTCAGTTGCTCCTTGCTGAATACTATAGATGCTCATTTCCTCCAGTGTGATGAAAGGGGCAAAAAAGGTCCCTTCAAGTCATCATAATGAGAAAGTTTCTTGAAATAATGAATAAGTATCTCAAAAACATGGCAAACTTAATCAAAATACTGACAAAAAAAGAAAAAATGACTTTGTATCTCAAAAATAATTAGAAACTTTATTAAAATAACAGGTAGTATCTCAAAATAATGACTTAGTATCTTAATATATAATGAGAAACTATTAAAAAAAATGAGTATTCTAAAATAATAAGTTAGTATCTCAAAATAACGAGAAACCTTATCGAAATAATGAGTTAGAATCTTAAAATAATGAGTTTGTATCTCAAAATAATTAGAAAATATACTGAGTCAGTATTCATAGAAAGGTTCTCATTATTTTTAAATACTACGTCATTACTTTGAGATAAGTAAATCAGTCTTTTGAATGCGTCTCTTATTATTTTGAAACACAAAGTCATTCTTTCGAGAACATCTTTCATTAAAATGACTTGACAGAATCTTTTTCTTTTGCATCACACTTGTGGAATAGACCTCCATTGAATACAGTTTAAGCCTGACTTGGGGAATTTGACACAGAAATGACCTGCTACTGTAATAGTCACAGTTGACTCATCCAGCGTGTATGAAAGACACGTGATTGGAAACTGTCCGAAGGTTTCCACTGTGAAGCATCGCAAATGATGAATTGATGCAGGCCATGTGCTCGACCCTGACCGCTCAACTATTCAGTAGTTTGTCTTGTAAACCGATTGATCCGACACACTAGTGTCTGAGGAAAAACAAACAGATAAAGATTGAAGAATAGAGCAACAGACAGTTTAGCGAAGACCTTATTAAAACCCTCTTGCTTTCAATCCGAAGCCAGAAATGTGTGTGAGAGTTCAGAGCAAAGGAGAGGAAGTTAAGAAGTTCAATCAGGCAATAAAAACTTCATTAAATTCTCCCATAAATGCCAAAAAAAATAAATTCAGCAGTCAATTAAATACAGAATTTGAGATTGAGTTCACAGTCAGTGTTGACAGCCTAGTACAGGAGCATATGACTGCTGCTTTCTTGCCGTCACATAGCACAGCAGGACATCACATTCTTTTTCCTCAGTGTCAGAAACCATCAGATTCAGTTCTGTTTTCGCAGCCTGATGGGAATGTGATGCCACGCATATGATTTGCATGATTGCTGTAAGCAAAAGTGTGTTTGTTTACAGTATTTTTGGTCAGTTGTCACATGTAGTTGCTTAAATTGCTGCTGATTGTGTCACTGCATAGACGGGTCACAGCTGTGTGACCGAGGCCTGCTTCATACTGCATGCACATAGAGGACTTATGACTTGTCTGTAGCTGGCTTGTATGCATGTCAGGATGCACCAGTGTTTCCTTCAACATTGAATAATCACTAACACTAAAAAACATACCTATAGGAATTACCTCCTTCTTCACTGTGGTTATGTTTCAAAGATTTTTATACCACCTTTACTGGAGGAAACACTGCTGTGTGTTTTTTCCACAGTCACTGCATCTTTCATCCGCTTCACCATTAATGCTCCAGTGTCCACGTTGGATAAAGTCTGTCAAACCTGTCTTCTTTCTCTTTTGAAGTGACTTCTGAGAAATGCGTTCCTTGTGTTTGTTAAAATGCTTCTGAATTGCCACTGTTGTGTCCAAAATGTTTTGTTACTCTGATCTGATGTCAGTAACTTAGTTCCCAGCTCCTTGCGGTCCGTCACATGATTCAAAATGTCAGAGGTTATTAGTCGGTGTTGGTGTGGTGACCTCTGTGTTTTCCCCTGCAGGAGTCTCTTAGGGGGCGGCCGAAAGAGATCCCTCATAATGAGAAGCTTCTGTCACTTAAATTTGAGGTAAGAATGCTGATCATTAGATGATTCTGGAAACCACAGATTTCATTGGACAAGACTGATTTTAAATTAAGTCTCGTGTATGTGAAGGAGTTTAAAAACCCAGGTATTGCTAAATAAAAGACGCAATAAACCAGTAAAATGAGTCAGTAACAGGTATAGAACATGCACTGTAACAGCATGTTGGGGCAACAAACAGGGCAATAATCTTCTTAAACAGACTGGAAACTGGCAACAGCTGACAAAATCAGCTTTGTATTAACATATTTTTGGTTTGCTATGAACTTCCTGACGTCGAGCCATATAAACTGTCACATTTTTAGGTCATGTGTTGATCATAAAAACTTATCTATCTTTATTTGCTGATTTATTTTTTATGTGTGTGTCATTCCAGAGTCTGGACTATGATAACATTGAGAACCAGCTGTTTCTGGAGGAGGAAAGGAGGATGAGTCACATGGTGAGCGGAGTGGGAAGCACCTGAAGCACTACCTTGATGTCTCACTGTGTATAATCTCATAAATTTTCCTTCTTCTTTTCCTCTGCTCTTGCCCTCTCATCTCTCCATCTCCTGCCCTTCTCTCCTTCCCTTTCTTATCTTGTGTTTTCAGGGTTTCCGCTGTCTGGAGATCAGTCGCTGGGTGGTCTGCGGTCTAATCGGCTTTCTGACTGGCCTCATCGCCTGTTTTATAGATATTGTGGTGGAGCAGCTAGCTGGAATCAAATACCAAGTGGTCAAAGAGAGTATCCTTAACTTTTGTGCTCGCTAGGCCAACTTGTTAGCACCTAATGGCGGGACTTTACTATGCAAGGACAGTACAGAAAACCGTCCTAAGCCCCTTCCACCAGACGATTACAGTCATATGCACGCTGTTTCCCATACATCAGTTTATTTAATCTCATTTTATTGTACACTTGCATGCAGTGCATTCGCTCAGCCAGTACTTGCTTCGTGCTCTCTGTGTTTATCAGATCGCAAATAAGACAAGAATTAGCTAACGTTAGCCCCCCCCCCCCACGCTCCTTTCATCCTGCTCCCCACTGCTGTGGACTTCTTTTTTGGAAGGACAGCGTGCAGCACGTCAAGAGACAGACCTCCAATTGGCAGCTGTGGGGGTTTGAATTCGGCATAGTGGGCTGGTAGCCAGAGACAGCATCAGTCTAGCCCTTGCAATGGCAGCAACAGAAAGTTTACTGATCTAGCGGGGATGATAGGGCTGTCTTGCCCCCTGAGACTGCATTCGGGGTGCTGCTACAGCTGACTGTGGGTACATCTCCAAAGCTGCTACCTGCTCTCCTCCTGGCGAGGTCATCTGTAGTGGCAGTGAGATGGAGGACACACAAATTCAAGGCCCTAGCTAATGTTAGCTACATAAACCTGAACTTGAAGTTGCAGCCATTAGCCTTTGGCTCCAGTTATCAGAAGGCTAAACTATGAGCAACATTTTCCCATATTGACGTGTTTCATTTCTTTTATTGTCAGACTCTCTTTTAGACTCATTTTGATAACTGCCTACACTGCTTTGCAGATTTTGCCAGAGCTTGAAAAGCAACATTTTCTGCACTGAGTTCTCTGCCACTGAATCAAGCTTCCAGCGAAGGGACGTGAGCCCGCACCTGCATTTGTGGAACAGCCAGTATGAACGTCCTGTGATTGGCAAAGTCTCCCTTCACGGTGTAGATTTTCTAAAGCCCAAAGACAGAGCCAAGAGGAGGTGCAAAATTCTATTGTTCTTTCAGTACATTGAAATTAAGAAATGCACAAGGGTTTACAATGGGATTTTTGTCCAGTGATGCCAAAATTAAATTGCCTACCGCAGCCTTGATTCCTAAAAACTGCTGTTAGAAAGGAGTACAGAATGGTGGGTGATAGTTATTCATCCTTCCAGTCTACCAAAGCCCCATCTGTCGTTCATAATAGCTACCAAACCATCACAGGTGGCCTCTAAACAGTGTGGCCATACTTGGCTAATTTCACGTGCTATAAGGACTTCCCAGATCTTTCCTTGACCTCTGACCCCTCACAGACATAGAGAAGTTTACAGAGGTGGGCGGCCTGTCGATCTCTCTCATCCTCTGGGCGGTCCTCAACTCTGCCATCGTCATGCTGGGCGCCATCATAGTTGCATTTTTCGAGGTAAGACTGAAGGAGACGTACTGTGACCTTTGACTTCAAATTTAGAAACACAATCTGTATTTTAGTTTTGTTCCTTTTTTCTGTGTTCGATTACATTACTCGAGTGTGAAAGTGGATTTTAAAGAAGTGTGCCACTTCCATGTCTGAATGAGACGCCATTCAAACAGGCGTGGAAGTGAAAAGTAATTAAGCAACAGCATGTCTGCACCAGTTTTGACTCCAGCAGTGCATAAGACTGAAAATTTATGAAGATGATGTGCTTCTCTTTTCCTGCCATCGGATCAAAGAAGTGGTTCAGATATTTTTCTCACAAAGCCCACTGTTAATGCCATTTCATGTGACAATAACAAGTGAGAGGTTTCATTATGAGTATGAAAACACTGTCATTATTCTCTGAGCACATCCAGTCATGTTCTCGATATCATAGATATTGTAGGTTTCTGTATTTACCACCTGCCATCTCCTTTTTCAGTCTAACTCTCCTGTCTTTCTCCTTTGTCTCATCTAGCCCATAGCAGCAGGAAGTGGCATTCCTCAGATAAAATGTTACCTAAATGGAGTCAAGATTCCCAGGGTGGTACGACTCAAGGTACAGACACATAAAACACGTACACACACATCAGTTTATGCATGTTCCTTTGAACAGGAAGGACTGTCATGTTCTTATCACGTGTGTTTATCCTTCACAGACACTGGTGGTGAAAGTGTGTGGTGTTATCTGTTCTGTGGTCGGTGGCCTTGCTGTCGGAAAGGTAAGAAAATATCAAGCTATC